GAGGGCCCGACTGGGGCGGGGCAGCGGCTGCGCGTCAGTCCGCAGCTCCCTCGCTCGGCGGGGCGGCGGTCAGCGGGCGCCCGAGCAAATCCACATCCAAAGTGGTTTCTTCATGGACCTCCCTGCCGTCCCGCCGCCGCTTCTTCGATGATCCTCTGCGCGCGCGTCGACGCCGACGCGCGCTTGCTTGTCCGCTGGAGCTTTTCGGTCAGACGCAGGAGGCGATAGAGCCGACGCAGGCCGCTTGCAGACAGCGGAGCTGCACAGGACGCAGACACGCCGGGCTAACGCACGTCCTGCACGGAATCGCATTCGAAGCCTTCCCCGGCAAGTCAGATTTCTGAAGAACTGGCCAAAGTTCACACTTGGAAAGATGTCTGCAGCCCCCAGCGGGGGTGCCCGATGCCCCGGGGCGAATCGGACCCACGGGGCTGGCATTCGCAAGTGGTTGCAGAGTGGGGTCGCTGACTTTGTCAGGCCGGGCGTGGGCGGCGCCAACAATCCGCAAACGCGCGGCCGCGGCCCGTCGCGAGGGCGCCAGAAGCCGGCGCGGGGCCCTCCGCGGAGCTCCGCGGCCGCGGCCAGCGCGGCGCAGGCTGCGCGATCAGGCGGGGCCAGCATCTCGCCCGTCGAAGCCTCGCGCGCCCCCCCGCCGAGCGCTCGCGCACCTGGGCGGAACTTCTGAGCCGGTCGACATTGGGCCGCTGTAGCTGGGCCCGCGCGGAAGAATCGCGCCCATTCATCCAGCGCTGCCTCTCGTCTAAGTTTTCGCCCTAGCAGGGCAAACTGAGGATCTACTGCTCGGGGGGCTTCAGGGAGATCCCCCGCGGACGCTCGCGGCGGTCGCAGGCCGAAGGGCGCCTGCCTCGCGGCCCAGGGGCCAGCGGCGCATTGGGCGATTGGCGAGTAGCGGCCGTGCAAGCGACGGCTTTTTGCTCGCGCCATATTCTCTTGGCCCGGGAGCCAATGCGTTCCATGGTGGCGGGGGGCCGCCGCCGTCGAGCAGTCGCGATCCGGGCCCTGGGCGGGGCTGGGGATTGGCGGTAGCTCCGCGCCTGCGACTCGCTCTGGCCCCGGGGGCCGAAGCGGCCGAATCGGCTGGGCTGAAGCGGCCGAAACGGTGGGGAACGCGTTGACGTCTAGGAATGGTGGCACGTAGTGCTGCGTGCATGCCCTCATTTGTTGGGCGCCAACATGATTTTCAACGCCCGCTGTGCTGTCTTCGCCCGTTCAATGTGCGCGGCCGCTGTTGATATCTCCGCTGGATCGCAACGTCGCTTCCCTCCCGCGTCTGGCGCGCGCTCCCTGGCGACGCGGCGCGCGCGACGACGCCGCGCGCGAGGGTTCCCCGCGGCCCGCCGACGCAGGGCCTCAGCTCAACACTGAGCACATGCATCGGCGGCTCAACTGCGGCTGAACATGCCGCGTTTACCTCCTCAGCCGCCCGCGCGCAGGCGTCGCGCGTCGAGCTCGATGGCGGCGCCGGTGAATTCGCGCCCGGGCGCAAACCCGCGCTGCGAAGGCGGGGCGACCATCTCGGCGAACTTGCAAATCGCTGCGTCGAGCGCGGCAGACGCGAACTCGACGTCGGAACGTCGGGGCCCCGCGGCGAGGACCTCGCCGGGGTCGCGGGCGATCGAACCGGCAGGATGATCGACGGGGTGAGAGACTTGAGGGGCCAAGGGCCAAGGCTGGCATGGCGCCGCCTACCGATCTGCGAGGCCCGTCGAGCGCCCAGAATGCCTCCTCGTCGAGGATCTCAGCGCGCATCGGCGAGGCAGCCCGCGCGCGGCAGGCAGAGCCGTGAACTTCTGGAGAGATGCGCCGCCCCGCCGCCCCACCGATGGCGCGCGACGCGGGGCTCCAAGTTAGGAGGGGGGAGGTCGGCGGGCAGGCGCGGGCCGACGCTACCTCCTCCTCCCCAAGAGTCGACGCAAAGCAGGCCGCCGCCTCTGGAGAAGCGGAGGTGATGCGGGAAGGCAGCTAGACGCCGCCCCCCGCGCGCAGCTCTCGCCGCTTGCCGGGCCAGGAAAAGCCAGGATTGGATGAGCTCGATGTCGGCTGCGAGCATCTTCTCCAGCGATGCGGATGGCCTCCAAGATGCGCTCTCCGAGTCGACGCGGGCGGAGGCGCGGCGCCTTGCGGAAGACATCCTTGTCTTCATGGCCTGTCGGACGCTCCGGCATGGTAGCGACTCCGGTCCAAGCGCGGATGGAGAGAAGGCCAAGTCCATCTCCGTCTCCTGGTTCCGCCCCCGAGTGACGACCCTCGAAACGGCGCGGTCAGAGACCCCTTCGTCTCGCAGCGCTCCAGGCGGGCTGAGGGCAGCCCAGCAGCGCGCCACTTGACGAACCATTCAAGCTGGACTAGCTGCCCATAAACCATCAGGCGGAGGTAACTTGCCCGTGCCCATGCAGGAAAAGGTCGCGCCATCTCCCAAACCAACCAACAACTTGCTTCAGCTTGATTGCGTAGTATCAGGAGTTCCCCCGCTTGCTTGGAAAGCTTCTCATTCACGGCTGATGTGCGCCGAGCTTGCTTCGAGGGGCGACCAGGCCATGTGCCCTGCCGCAATCGGCAACCGAAACCTTGGGTCCACTCTGTACCTTGCCCCAAGATGCGGATGATGTTCTCGCCCTGCCTGTTCGATGCATCGTGGCTGCGAATGCCGGAATGCTGCGGATCGACCTCGTCCGCGCCCGCGCTTCGATCGCGCGCCCCTCAGCCAAACTCGCTTCTCTCGCAGACCGAGCAGTCATGCCTGCAAGTGGTGAGATCGTCACAACCTCAGATGTATAACGCGAAGAACTTCCTGTCACTGCTCTGCGCGACACATTGGCGTCGGCACCCGAACAACGCCCGCGCATCTCACGAGACAAATGCCAACATTCGATACGCAGATCTGTCGGAAACCCTCGAAGCACCAAAACCCAAGATCGAACCGTACTGCGTCGTCGAAAAGTTCTCGAAGGCACCGCTCAGGTTGGGCGTCAGGCAACATGATGGGGCTCGATATAATACAGGATCAGCTGTCTAGTCACATGGCTTTCCGCCAGGCCCTCATCGCTCCAATCGAAAAACGTCGGTGCCCTGCTGGCGCTTGGCTCCAGGCGAAGGAGAGGTGCTCAATGCGATGAAATCCAGCCGTTGCTCCGGTCGAAGGAGGACTTCTTGTCGCCAAACTCGCAACGCAACTTACGTATTGACGCAAGCGGATCTGGGAAAGGGGGCTTGCCATATCCAACGTGCAACTGAATGGAACGGTCCTCCACCGAGGCTGTCAGTCCAGTTGCCGTTCGCTATTGGACTCCCAACGCATGCTGGACCCTCCTGGACGCCACATCAACTGGACCTGGGACCTGGGAGCTCCACGACGAAGAGCTTCGACTGCGGCTGAGCTGTCCCGACCTTGGAAGTGCACTCGAAGGTCTACTGACCTGAGCCACGTTTCGAAGGACTGCTTGGCACTAGCCCTCGGGACCATCTCGGAGGCAATCGCTATAAGGAAAGTCGTGTCGATGTCGGGCTTGAAGGTGCGGTTGTTGGGTTTGGGCGGCGCGGGAACCTGCTGAGCGACGAGCTCCTTCCGAACCTGTTGCATCTTGGTCTGGAGGTCGAAGATAACGTTATGTTTCTTCTCGGGTTTGGTCGTATGTTCGTGCATTCGATGCCCTAAAGCATGCACTTCTCGATGTGATCGACGCATGGGAAGATGCCGGCGGAGGCGGCAGCTGCAACATCTGCTGAGGCCTTCGAGATCGCGTCACTGAGCTGCTTGATGGCCAAAAAGATGGGACCGACGGCTGCGACAACAGATCCTTTGGCGGAAGTGGCGACCTTCCTCCGGCACTCCTCCCTGAACTTGCCCAAAGTACTCGTGATGTGGGCCGGCTCGTTGACACGACTGCCGTGCATGTAGCCCTGGTCGTCATCACCGTCCGCGCTGTACCTGCAACTGCGCGGTCGGAGCTCGAACGCACATGTTCATCAGCACGGCCTTGCTCGACCTCTGCAGGCGGGAAGAGACCCTGTGGTGCACGAGGCGCGAGCTTCTTCTTGCGACGGGATCCAATGAGCATGTTGAGCGCGGAATGCAGCATCCGACCCAAGAAAGAGCCGTGAGAACGATCGCAACCAGCACGCTGAAACCATAGCCCACGAAAATGAATGTTGCATCTATGCCTGGATACAGTGTGTGAAATATTTTGGCAGCCTGCACCCTGCACCGCTGTAGAGTTGAGCAAGGAAAGACTGAGAACGAACCGCGGACCAGCGGTATACACTCGGTTCACCCAGGCAACCAGCATCTTGAGTCAAAACCGCTACGGAGGAGGAAGACCAGAATTCGCCAGCCCAACGGGCCAGAGGCGTGCAAAGATCTCCGGTAACTGTTTAACAATATTCTACTCCGCGCGCGCGTGGCGGCTCTTGGGTGTCCCCAGACGAAAAGTACCCCGGCCAATCCCCGGCGGATCCCCTGGCGATCCCCGGCCTGGTCCCCCAGAAAACTCCAGGAGAGGGCAATTTTTCGACACCCTTCACGAGGATCGTGGCTTCCGAGGGGGAGCCGCAATCGATCGCCCCTCCTCTCGCCCCCGCGAGCTTCCCAAGAG